CCTCCGGGGTTGGCGTGAACCTCCGGAAGAGCGCTGACCTCTGGTGCGGCGCCTGGCGCAACCGCGGCGACTCCCCTCTCGGCGCCTCCTGGTCGACCACCTCCATCAGGATCCTCGGGCTCGGCATCGACCCCAGGAGCACCGTCGCCTACCGGGAGCAGCATCTCCTGGCCGTCCTGGAGACTGCGTGCCGCAGATGGACGCCCTTCACCCGCGGCCCCTCCCTCGTCGGACGAGCAAGAGCGGCGAACACGCTGGTGGGGTCCACGATCCAGCAACACCTGCATGGATACCTTCCATCACCCCCGACCATCGCCAAGCTGCAGGCCCGACTGGCGAGGTTCGTCTGGGGGCCAGACCACACGGCGTGGCTTCCCGCCAACGTCATGGCGAGGCCGGTCACCATCGGAGGCCTCGGCCTCCTCGACCTCGCGACCCAGTTCCAGCTCGCCTGCCTCAAGGGGGTGCAGGTCGCGCTCCGCGGTGGCAGAAATGCCTTCAGCTGGCTGATTGGCGGCAACAGCGGTAAAGCCTGGATCCACCCTCCACCGGACGGCACCCGTCTCCAGCCCCGCCGTCTCCGGCTGCTGAAGCTCTGGGAGGAGGCCTCCAACATCCTGGGCCTCAACCACCGGGCGGTCCCCACTGCTCAGCTGCTGGACCTCCCCATCATGGGCGGCTGCCGGTTCCTCCGCCCTCCCGACCTCCTGGCCCCCGCCCGCTGGCGCGGAGCCCGAGTCCGGGACCTCACCGTGGAGGACCACCTCACCGCCCGACCTACGCGCTCGGCCCTGGCTGACGCCGCGGCCCTGGGCGCCTTCTGTCGGAGGCTGACCTCCGAGAACGCCGTGGGCTTCGGGGCGGAGTCCACGCCTTCATCTAGCTCCCTAGCTGCGGCCGTGGTGCTGCGAGGGACGGCTACGCCGTTTCTCAACGGCCTCACGACCCGCTCGGCCCGACGGGCCCTGGATCGCCCGCGCCTCGCCGCCACGCCCATCTCAAGGTTCACCTCGAGATGGTCGCCCACCATCGGTCCACCATCATCTAGGATCGACTGGGCCTCGCTGCGCCTTCTCGGACGACGAGGCCGACGCGGCCCTCAAGTTGGCCCTCCACGCCCTGCCCCATCCGGCCCATCCTGCCTCGGTCCGCCCCTCCTGTCCTGCCTGCGGGTCCATCGACCGCTCCCTCAGCCACCGTTACTGGTGCTGTCCCTCCATCAGGCCTCTCATTAGAGAGGCCTTCAACATCATAGGGCGGCCCCCTGACCTGCAGGCTTGGATCTTCGGCGGGTCCGGCCTTGAGGACGACGCCATTTCCATCCTGGCGTCGGCAAAGTTGCGAATTTATCGCTACTTTGTCCAGGTTGGGCTCGGAGAAGCGGTGGAGGACCCGCTCATCGCCTGGTCCAGGACCCTCCAGCGCCGAAGTCTCCTACCTTTGTCCCTCTTGTAAATTTGTATTATATATGTATATATTTTTCTTCATGTATATATTTTCTTTATGTATATATTTTCTTCTTCTTCTCTCTCTCTCTCTCTCTTTGATATGTAATATTGTCTAAGATGACAATAAATAATTTTAAATTGTCAAATTGTCACACACACACACATTGACGTCAAACGTTTCTAAAATATTTGAAAAACATAATTAAAAACAAAATCAATAAATATTAGGAAGAGTATAATCTAATGAGTCCAAGGCAACACGGATTTACTAAACATAAATCAACGAACAGTGCAATGGAAGATATAATGGAAACCATACTGAAACACAGGCAAGGAGAACTGACTTCTTTGATTACAGTGGATATAGCAGGCGCTTTCGACAACGCATGGTGGGTAGCAATTATTAGAAGACTCGATTTAGATAACACTCCCTCCAAACTAATAAGAATTATACAATCTTATTTAAGCAGTGAAAGAAGGGCAAATTTCTCATATGAAGACACAAAGGTTACAAAAAAAGCTGACAAAAAGGATGCCCTCAAGGCGGCCCTTTATCCCCAATATTATGGAATATTTTGTTAAACGACTTGCTGAAGAGTTTCAAACATCCGAACGCAGAAATAATATGCTACGCAGACGACGTTTCCATCATTTGCTGGAGCAAGTCTGTCGAGGATCTCAAAATATTAAGGGAATATATTCTATGCTATGTGATTCAATGATGTAATAGGAATAAATTATCAATAATCCCAGAGAAAACGAATTTACTTTACTTACATAATAAACGTTAAAGTTCCAATTGAAATACTGAATATTATTTTAAACTCAGTAGATCAAATTAAGATATTAGGCATAAAATTCTCAAATCATAGAATAAAAAAGAAGATTAATTTTACTCCACATATCAACGACATTCTGTGTAGGATCGTAAGAATGAAAAATTTCTGTTTTCACTTTGTGGAAAGATGTGGGGAATAAATACTAAAAAAATAATAATTTTGTATAAAACAATTATCAGGCCAGGCCTTACGTATGGTTCAGAAATATGGTACAAATTTATAAATAAGTGATGCAAAGAAAAACTAAATTCTACTCAATATCAAATTCTTCTATGGGTGAGCAGAGCCTACAAAACTACGTCTTCCAACTGTGTCCATAGTCTTGCGAACATCCCCCTTCTCACAGATTATATTGAATCTAAAATAATTAAATATGACTTGGCTCATCTTTCGATGGAGGATCAAAATGCTTTTAGACCGCATTCTCAGAGTATAATTGGTTCATTTTTAAGTGCAAAAATGGATGAATTATTTCTAAAAACAAATGAAACATTCCAAAGCTTTTTCCCGTTTGGAATTCCAACATTTTTCCGTTCGATTTTTTATAATGCCCAGTTTACAACGAACCATGGAAATTTTAAGGGATTTTTATCAAAAATTGGAGCAGTTGAAGACTAGCTGTCATTGTGGCAACGAATTACAGGACTCGAGACACTTACTGCTGGAATGCCCACTCTTTTGTAGCGCTAGACAACAGAAAATAAATAATGTTGTAGATCTATATCAATTTGTAAATAGCAGAGAGAATTATCTTTGTAAATATATTTATGATTATCTTTTTAACCTGAAAGGTTCAGGTTCCTAATACATATTATTGTTTCTCTTTTTTATTTTAAATTACTTTTCTTGTATAAAATGTCTATAACTGTTTGTGTTTTTTTTTAAATGTAAATCGACGCAATTATCCCTGGCGGGGATATCGCGTTTTGTATGTTGAAATCCTTCCTTATATATATATATATATATATATATATATATATATATATATATATATATATATATATATATATATATATATATATATATAAATGAAATGCGAAATCGATGTTTGTTATCGCATCACGCAAAATCTACTGACTCAATCATTATGGAATTTCGCATGTAGGTAGCTGAAGATTTCGTTTAACATATAGGCTATTCAAAAAACTAAAAAAGTTAATGTGCTTTTTTTAAAAAATAAAAAACCAAAAAGCGTTAGTTCCAGTCTTTTACCGCTAGGGCGCAGCACTGGTCGCGACGATAAATGAATTTGATTTTTTTAAAGCATTTGTGGTTCAGTGGTAGAATGCTCGCCTGCCACGCGGGCGGCCAGGGTTCGATTCCCGGCCGATGCATTTTTTTAAAACAATTTTTAAAACTCATTTATATTATATCTATATTAATAAAATGCAAATTTCATAAGTGTTGTTCACTAAAAACTTCCGTTACAATGCATCAATTTCGACCAAATTTTCAACATTTATGTAAAACGAGATGGAGCAGGTTTTGCTTAACATCAAAATATTTTTCCCTATCATTAACATGCGTAACTTCGCTGTTATCGATTAAATACAAAAACAATCAACAGAGTTAATTTTATTTATATATAAATACAAAATTAAATTTCAAAAGAGTTAATTTTTTTACATACTAGCTAATAATCTCAATCTTAAAAATATTCAAAACAAGCAATTTTAAGATAACACCATATGTAAAACAGTCGGCCAAGAAAACAAATAACGTGTAATATATATATAATAAATATAATATATATAATATAACGGTATAATAACGGTATAAAGAAATAATGAGCCTATCGTTCAAATTTATAATTGTAACGAATAGTATTTTAATTAAAACATTTTAAAAACACACAGTTTGGAACGGGACGTTTCACAAGAGTGACATCCATGGCGCCAATTTATAATTGTAACGAATAGTATTTGAATTAAAACGTTTTTAAAATATATACGCACTCGGGTTAAACCCGGGCGTTGCCCGGGCCATTCGTATTATATAAATATATAATAAAAAATATAATGTAATGAATATTATTATCATTATTATCATAATAGTCTATGTTCCGGAAAATTATTTTCAATAATATTCGTTAGGCAAACTTTCACTCAGATAAAACCCGGGCGAAGCCGGGTACACATCCGCTAGTCTTCTATATAAATGGAAATTTCATAAGTGGTGTTCGCTAAAAACTTTCGTTACAATGCATCAATTTCGACCAAATTTTCAACATTTATGTAAAACGAGATGGAGCAGGTTTTGCTTAACATCAAAATATTTTTCCTAACTTTAAAATACATAACTTTGCTGTTATCGATAAAATACAAAAAAATTCAACAGAGTTAATTTTATTTATATATAAATACAAAAAAAAAAAATTCAGCAATTCATTCAACTCAATCTAAAAAAATATTCAAAACAAGCAATTTTAAGATAACACCATATGTAAAACAGTCGGCCAAGAAAACAACAACGATATTACATCTTTCTCACATATTCACACACAATCTTGATTAATAATTAAAACTAATCTTTAACATTGTTTATTATACTTCATAATATATAATATTCGTTTGGCAAACTTTCACTCGGATAAAACCCGGGCGAAGCCGGGTACACATCCGCTAGTAAATAAATAAGAGTCAACAATCAACAATTCTGTCACTGTTTGCTTTTGTGAATGGAATAAATACCCAAATATGGCCATTTTTTATAAGCATCGGTGGTTCAGTGGTAGAATGCTCGCCTCTTACGCGGGCGGCCCGGGTTCGATTCCCGGCCGATGCATTTTTTAATAATTTTTAAAACTCATTTATATTATTATTAAAATATACAAGTATCAGAGTCATCAATTCTGTCATCGTTTGCTTTTGTGAATGGAAAGCTTTTACGTAATATACGTAAAATACGTAACTAATATGACTGAAATTTTAGCAGTATGTATAGTAGAATCTGGAAAAACTTATATTGAATATTTCAGGTCTTTATCTCGAATATTCTTCGAGTTATTTGCAAATTTGTTCTTTCGCTTGCAAGCAGCGCCTCTAGCGGTGAATATGAGAGGTAATATCAGCTGACCTAATGTACATGTAAAACGTGTTTTAACAAGACATATAAAAAATATGGAAGAGATATTTTTCGGATTTTTAGTCAAGAAAAATAAATTGACAGGTTCTGGGAAAAAAAGTAGTTGTTTTTTATTCAGAAAATGATGATGACAATATTGCTGTATCATATTTGATTATCAGATACAAAATTATATCCGGAAAAATTCCAAAAAGCAGAGAACACGGGTGAAGCCAGTTCATTTTTAGTATGGAGGAACAAAATTCTAACAGAAAAACATTCATTCGAGCAGAAGACACAAAGCCAGATCATCTCTTTATAAAAATATCGCTTCTCAGATACAAAGTTTGGAGCGGGACGTTTCACAAGAATGACATCCACGGCGCCAATTTATAATTGTAATGAATAGTATTTGAATAATAGCATTTAATCGTGTAAAACCTGGGCGTTGCCCGGTCATTCGGCTAATAATAAATAATATATATTTTTCTAACAAACATATCCACTCTCTCTAATGAATAGATTTTTAAAAAGATATATGTGGTATAATATAATAGGGTGGGAATAGAAATAAACACACCACAAGTTGGAAGAGGAACCCAGGCAACCAGAGAGAGAGGGAGAGAGCCGGGCGGCCGTTCGTGTGGCACACAATCCCCAACTGTCATAAAAGTCCTAAGGTGTTGACTGACGGTCCCCAGATGCCGCCCCTTGGAATGTCGCTGCTGTCTCAAGTGACCGGACTTTACATCCCGTTTCTCTCTGGGCTGGCTCTAGGTTTGCTTTATTATTCCTGGAAGAGTATATATTATCACATATATATATAAATATCTAGAGATATACTACATGATCTTAGCCAAAAGCCGAGAAAAACGATACTTATATATAGAGATAACCCGGCTTTGTGTGTCTTCTGCTCGAGTGAATGTTTCGCTGGTAGAATTTTGTTCCTGCCTACTAAAAATTATTATATATCTTTGCCCGTGGTCTGCTTTAGTGAATATTCCCCTAAAGAATTTTGTTTATGTCAATCAAGCATTATACAGCAAAATTGTCATAATCATTTCTGATTTAAAAAATAATGTTGCTCAGTACTTGATTAATTATAATTTTTCTTGGTTAAAAAAGTGCGACAAAAAACTCTTCCAGATTTAACTCTTTGCCCTGTTCAAATTTCAGCGAGATTAGTTACATATTGAGGGCGTTCATAGCCGACAAATATATAAATATATGTTCCCGGCTTCGCCTCGTTCTTACCCGAGTAAAAGTTTGCCTAACGAACATTTGTTAAAACGATTCTAGCAAACATTCAATCCCTACTGAATCTATACTTGTCTATGTTTTTACCCGAATAAAAGTTTGCCTAACGAACATTTGTTAAAACGATTCTAGAAAACATCCAATCCACCTACATTTATAAACGTATATAAATATACAAATATTGTTATTTGTGTTTAAATATATTTTTGAA